TCTTTTTTCCAGCAAACATGTTTTATTTTAGAGACATAAATTGTACCAGTAAATTAAAAGAATAGTTTATCAACCTTCCCATTGCCTTTTTGTGGTTTCTCAAAAATCTTTTTTTAAAATTATATTTTAAGTTCTAGGGTACATGTGCAAAATATGCAGGTTTGTTATGTAGGTATACATGTGCCATGGTGGTTTGCTGCATCCATCACCCCGTCATCTACATTAGGTATTTCGCCTAATGCTATCCCTCCCCTAGCCCCCCACTCCCTGCTATTTCTCCCCTCACACCCCCACCCACCAACAGGCTCCAGTGTGTGATGCTCCTTTCCTTGTCAATGTGTTCTCATTGTTCAACACCCACTTATGAGTGAGAACATGCGGTGTTTGGTTTTCTGTTCTTGTGTCAGTTTGTTGAAAATGGTTTTCAGCTTCACCTATGTCCCTGCAAAGGACATGAACTGATCCTTTTTTATGGCTGCATAGTATTCCATGGTCTTTATGTGCCACGTTTTCTTAATCCAGTCTATCATTGATGGGCATCTGGGTTTGTTCCAAGTCTTTGCTATTGTGAACAGTGCTGCAAGAAACATATATGTGTCTGTGTCTTTATAATAGAATGATTTATAATCCTTTGGGCATATTCTCAGTAATGGGACTGCTGGGTCAAATGGTATTTCTATTTGTCTCCTGATTTTTTAATTATCACCATTCTAACTAGTATGAGATGGTATCTCGATGTGGTTTTGATTTGCATTTCTCTAATGATCAGTGATGATGAGTTTTCTTTTTTTTTCATATGTTTGTTGGCTGCATAAATGTCTTCTTTTGAGTAGTGTCTGTTCATATCCTTTGCTCATTTTTTAATTTTTGTAATGTTTTTTAAGTTCTTCACAGATTCTGGATATTAGCGCTTTGTCAGATGGGTAGAGTGCAAAAAATTTCTCCCATTCTGTTGATTGCCTATTCCCTTTAATGATAGTTTCTTTTGCTGTGCAGAAGCCCTTTAGTTTAATTAGATCCCATTTGTGTACTTTGGCTTTTGTTACCATTGCTTTTGGTGTTTTAGTCACTAAGTCGTTGCCCATACCTATATCCTGAATGGTTTTGCCTAGGTTTTCTTCCACAGCGTTCATGGTGTTAGGTCTTATGTTTAAATCGTTAATCCATCTGGAGTTAATTTTTGTATAAGGTGTAAGGAAGGGATCCAGTTTCAGCTTTCTGCATATGGCTAGCCAATTTTCCCAACACCATTTATTATTAGTTTCCCCATTGCTTATTTTTGTCAGGTTTGTCAAAGATCAGATGGTTATAGATGTGTGGTGTCACTTCTGAGGCCTCTGTTATGTTCCATGGTCTATATCTCTGTTTTGGTACCAATACCATGTTGTTTCAGTTACTGTAGCCTTGTAGCATAGTTTGAAATCAGGTAGTGTGATGCCTCCAGCTTTGTTTTTGTTTTGTTTTTTTGCTTATGATTGTCTTGGCTATGCAGGATCTTTTTTGGTTCTATATAAAGTTTGAGGTGTTTTTTTTTCCAATTCTGTGAAGAAAATCAGTGGTAGCTTGATGAGGATAGCACTGAATCTATAAATTACTTATGATTTGTTTGTGTTTCTTGTAGATTTTGAATATTATTCCCTTGTCAGATGTATAGTTTGCAAATATTTTCTCCCTCTCTGTGAGTTGTTCATCTAGTCTACTGATTATTTCTTTTGCTGTGCAGATTTTTAGTTTAATTGGGTCCCATTTATTTATTTACTTATTTATTTATTTAGTTAGTTAGTTAGTTATTTTTGCACTTGCTTTTGGGGCCTTAGTCATAAATTCCTTGCCTAGGTCAATGTCCAGAATAGTTTTTCCTAGGTTTTCTTCTGGAAATTCTATTGTTTCAGGTCTTAGATTTTAATCTTTGATACAACTTGAGTTTATTTATTTATTTGGTAAGATGAGAGATAAGGATCCAGATTCATTCTTCTACATGTGAAAATCCAGTTTTCTCAGCACCATTTATTAGGTGAGGTGTCTTTTCCCCAATTTATGCTTTTGTATGCTTCATTGAAGATCATGCTTGTAAGTATTTGGTTTTATTTCTGGCTTATATAGTCTGTTACACTAGTCTATGTATCAACTTTTATACCAGTACCATGCTGTTTTGATAACTATAGCCTTGCAATGTAATTTGAAGTCAGGTAATGTGATGCCTCGAAATTAGTTCTTTTTGCTCAGGTTTACTTTTGCTGTTTAGGAACTTCTATGGTTCCGTACAAACTTTGGGATTGCTTTTTTCTAATTCTGTGAGAAAATATGTTGGTATTTTAATAGAAATTACATTGAATCTGTAGATTGCTTTGGGCAGTATGATCATTTTCATGATATTGATTCTTCTAATCCATGAGCATGAGATGTGTTTCTATTTGTTTGTGTCATCTATGATTTCTTTCAGCAGTGTCTTATAGTTATTATAGAGATATTTTACCTCCTTGGTTAAGTATATTCCTAAGTATTTTTTTTTGCAACTATTGGAAAAAGAATTGAGTTCTTGATTTGATTCTCAACTTTGTTGGTGGTGGTGTATAGCAGTACTACTAATTTCTATATATCGATTTGTAACCTGACACTTTACTGAACTCATTTATTCAATCTAGAATTTTTTTGGAGGAATTTTAAGGTATACAATCATATCATTGGCCAGTGATTTGACTTCCTCTCTTCCAATTTCATTCCCTGTCTTTCTTTCTTTCTTTCTTTTCTTTCTTTCTTTCTTTCTTTTACTTTCTTACTTTCTTCCCTCCTTCCTTCCTTCCTTTCCTGTCTCTCTCTCTCTTTCTTTCTTTCTTTCTTCTTTCTTTCTTTCTTTCTTTCTTCTTTCTTTCTTTCTTCTTTCTTTCTTTCTTTCTTTCTTTCTTTCTTTCTTTCTTCTTTCTTTCTTTCTTTCTTTCTTTCTTTCTTTCTTTCTTTCTTTCTTTCTTTCTCCTTCCTTTCTTCCTTCCTTCCTTCCTTCCTTTTCTTTCCTTCTCTCTTTCTTTCTCACCTGATTGCTCTGGCCAGGACTTCCAGTCCCATGTGGAATAGAAGTACTGAGTGCGAGCATGCTTGTCTTGTTCCACTTCTAAGGGAGAATGCTTTCAACTTTTCCTTATATGGTGTTGTCTGTGGTTTGTTTGTTTGTTTGTTTTTTTCAGCATTGACCAAAATTTATTCAAATCATGTGGGAGAATGAAACAAACATGACAATGGAAATTCAAGTTTACAAAATTACTTTTAAATTTGAAGTGTATTACTAGCAATGAAAAGAGAGTGGCTTTTGATTTCATTTTCTCTGATCTAAAAAGTGACCATTGAACCATTGGCACTGATTATCACGTCCATCACATAATAGTTGATAAATAAGTGGTATCTGAGTTTAACTCACATTGTTAAACACGTGCACTATAATTTCCAAACAGAGTAGTGGGCCGTAAGAAATGTGTTATCCCCTCTGATCAGTGTTTTTCATAAAACATTATAATTTTTTTCTTTTTCTTTTTTGTTTTTTATTCCATTTTAGGTTTTGGGGTACATGTGAAGAACATGCAAGATTGTTGGTCTGTGGATTTTTCATATGCTTTTGTTATTTTGAGTTATGTCCCCTCTATGTTGGTTGAATGTGTTTTTTATAAAAGAATGCTGGATATTATCAAATACTTTTGCTGCATCCATTGAGATAATAATATGTTTTTTGAACGATGAGGTTGTGTCCTTTGTAGGGACATGGATGAACCTGGAAAGCATCATTCTCAGCAAACTGACACAAGAACAGATCAAACACTGCATGTTCTCACTCATAGGTGGGTGTTGAACAATGAGAACACATGGACACAGGGAGGGGAGCACTACACACTTGGGTCTGTTGGGGGGAAATAGGGGAGGGACAGTAGGGGGTGGGGAGTTGGGGAGAGATAGCATGGGGAGAAATGCCAGATATAAGTGATGGGGAGGAAGGCAGCAAATCACACTGCCATGTGTGTACCTATGCAACAATCTTGCATGTTCTTCACATGTACCCCAAACCTAAAATGCAATAAAATAAATTTAAAAAAAATAAATAATACATTTTTTGTTTATAATTCCATTTATGTAATTTATCATATTTTTGACTTTCATATGTTAAAACATCCCTGCATGCCTGGGATGAAATCCACTTGATTGTGGTGTATTATCTTTTTGATATGCTGTTGGATTCAGTTTGCTAGTGTTTTGTTGTGCTAGTGTGTTATGATCATCAGAATATTGAGCTGTAGTTTCCAATTTTTGTTATATGTTTTCCCTTTTTTTTTAAATTTTTGAAGTCTTCCTACATTCTATTGGCATTGAAATAGAACATGGATTGAGCATAAACTCCTCCAAAAACAATTTTTAAAAAACTCAAAAAGTACACAAAAAAACTCTGAATACAAAACCTAACCTTTCTTCCCAGCCTCCCTAAAGGTAAGTTACTGATCTTAAGTCGGCTCTTAATAGATTGCCCCACAATTCCTGGTTTGAATTTAGCCAATATAGGGCATATCACCAGGTGAATGTCAATATAATTCACAGCAATGCACACAAGACTCCACAAGGCCAGGCACAGAGTGATGGTGGTGGGCAGGGGGAATTGAGGGAGGCTCTAAGCTAGGGACACTACATGGTGGAACAGGATAAACCCTTGGGGACAGGAACAATAAAAACAAATAAGAAGTACTTTAAAAATGGATTGTATGACCTATAGTGACAGATGACATCACTAATACTGAAAGCTTCTTATATTAATGTTTTTGGCAAAATGTCATTTTGTAATATAATATATGCTTTCCAGGTACGGGAGTGATAAAAGAATAAGGCCAAAATGATCCTGCTCCAGGACTAATATCTTCTAATGGTGCATTAACAAGGACGGCAGAAATCAATATTTATATATCACTGGAATACATAACACTGTCGAAAGAGGAAGAGCACACATGAGACAGAGAAGGAGGTGGATGCTCCTGGGTTGAGAGCAGGGGTGTGGGTGTGGAAGGGACTAGGCCAGAATCCCCAGCAGCTCTCTGGTTTACACCTCCAAGAGGCAGAACATCTGGTGTCAAGACCTGGGTTAGAGGTTTGTCAAACAGAGGCAGGGCCCAGTCACCACTTTGGAGGGGAGTGATGAGAAGGGGATTTGGGGCACATTAGAGAGCTGAATAAACTGGAATCAGGGGCACAGGCTTCTCACTATACTCAGCTTCTTCCACATACTCCCTAGTTGAGCCTACTGGCATCAAGCTCTAGATGCCAAGGCCAGAATGGCTTTGGAGCAGGAGCTGTGGCCCAAGTAGCTCTGAGAGGGGAAGTGACCTAAAACCCCTGGCAGGGAAAATACTGAAGCCAGGTGTGAACATATCCTCTCTTTTCACAAGAGTCCTGATGGGGCTGGCTGGGCTTTTGGGTACTCATCCCTACTGTTCTAGCTGAAGAGGATTTGGGTACTGAAGCTGGGAGGGACAGATCCCACAAAGTGACCACAGATCTGAAATAATAAGTAAGGGGTAGCTCTGCCCATAGAGTTCACTTTAGACAGGGTTATACTCCTTTAAGAAATTGGGGTAGGATCTTCTACTCAGCCTTGCCAGAATAGAATGGTGAATACCCTTCTAGTACGTTTGGTGAAGCCTCTTGAAGGCACTGTTTCCCCCATCCACCCTGGGGAGAAACTGAGTCCCTAAAGTCAATGACAAGACTTATTGAGGATGAGTATTTAACAGGCCCAATCTGGGACTTAGAAACAAAAGTGACTAAACATCTCTTTATCCTCCAATCATTACAATATCCAAATAACTCTAAAAGGGATAGACATTGGGAGGCCAAATTCTAGGTCAGTTGACATCCTAGAGCAGGTAGCCAAGGTCCTGTCTCATTCCCTAAACCCTGTAATATTCCAACCCTGTAAATCTCAAGACACTGAAGAAGAAGGCAGTGGCAGGGGAGGGGAGGGGAGCAAGCTTCCAACCTACTCCATACTTGACTTCCATGGGGCAACAGTAAGTGTAAGGGTGTTTGCAAAATCAAATGGAAAGTACCTCTGGGCTGGGGAAGTGGGATATTCTAGCAAGATAGATTAAATGGAACAGAGAAGAGAAAGGAGGTTCCATTGGCAACATAGTGAGCCATTCATTTGCTCAGGGAAGTGGGTGGGGGCTGAGAGGCTAGGTTTGGTCCCATGGCTACACTAAACGCTTGGCATGACTTTGGGGCTGCTCTAGTTAGTGGCTCCAGCACATCATGAGTTAGGTAAGTTAGGTGTAAGAGTGCAGGGGCAAGGAAAAAGGGAGGAGGAGTCCCTAGAGGCTGGGTGCCCATTACATGGACTCAAATTCATCAATGTGCTGCTTAGTGTTGCCCTGCCGGATCTGGCACAGGGTCTTGTATTTGTTTCAGCCCAGTTGCATATTCTCAGCATGGATCATGTCCTTGGCAGTCTTCTTGGACTCATCTCGGGCATTGGCCAGCTCTGAAGTGAGGGCCTTCAGGTGCTTCTGCATGCTCATTCTTCTCCACCTCAGTGATACATTCCTCCTCACTGCAGTCCTTGGCCATAGCATCAGCCCGTAGGTCATCACTAGCCTCTGCCCCATTCTCATCCTGCTCATCCAGCTCATTCTCAGCAGACTCTGCCACATGAGGTGTACTCGTGGCCATCTTTAGCTCAGCATGGGTCTTCTCCAAGTCTTCCTGTACTATATAGGCCTTCTGCTACCACTCCACAGCCTCACTCTCCTTCTTCTGTTGGGCCATCTCCAGCTGGGAGATTTGAGCTGTCAGCTCTGCCATTTCCAAGACCGGCTGTGCTTGAGTCTTTTTCTGCTCCTGGGAGGCTTGCAGCAAGGTCTGCTTGACCTCTTCAGCTTCTTGATGATCCTTGGCCAGCTTTTCAGCCTCACTCTGGGCACACTTCCATTCCTGCTCAACTTCCAGAGCCCTATGGGTCTATTCTTCCAGTTCTTGCTGAGCCTTCTTAGTCTGTTCCTCAATCTGCTTCAGGTTCTCCATTAGCTCCTCCTTCTTCCATTCAATCTTCTCTTTCTCTTTTTCTGCTATTTCACACTTCTTCTTCTCATTTTTCCAGCATAGCACGCTCCATCTGCTTCTGGTGCTTCTCCTCCCGGGCCTGTGCCTTCATCTGCTGCACCTCAGTGGTGTCAGCTTGCAATGGTGCATGTACAGTTCATGGTTCCCCATGCTCAAGGCCAAGATTTGCTTGTTAATCTGCAGCCAGGAGCATAGAAGACGAAGTCCAGGGCTTTTTTGTCAATGGGCTTGATGACAAATTTCTTATCATTGAAAAATGTTCCTGATTTCACTCCAAGGGAAGCTTATCTTGGGAGTCAGCCTGTCATTCTGCTCATAGATGTTGAGATCCAAGGCATCCACCCCCAGCCACAGCTCTGAGCCTTGCTTGTTCTTGATGCTGAAATAGTTCACATCATACATCTCCAGATCTTGAGCAATCTTCAGATATTCCAGGACAACAACCTCCCTGAGAATGCCGCAGTGTTCCTCATGCCACACATGGATCGGCTCCTCCCACTGGTCTCTGTTGAGTTTGTGCTGTTCCAAGAATCTCTGCAGCAGCAACTTTTCTCCAGCCAGGTAGCCAGATGTATGCACCTCCTTATTGAAGTCAGCATACTTAGACTGGACAGCATATAAAGCCAGCAGCACAGCAGTCTCAGGTGGGCAGTACATATCATTGAGAATGACATCTTTCACTTGCAGAAAGAACAGGGGCTGAGTGATGTCCTGGATCAAGTCCTTGGACACATCCTCAGTGTAGAACTTGGCATGGAACTTAAAGAGCAGGGGGCTTTCCTTCCGCATATCCTGGGCAGTCACATTATTGAGTTTCAGCCAGGTGGAGAAACCTTTCGTGTCCTGATACTGCAGACCAAAAAATCAAACTTCCCTCAAGCCAATAGTTTTCACCACCTGGTCAAATAGCTTCTTGCCAGTGGTGTTGGGATGGATGGCAAACTCCAGCTCTGCATCCATGGTGGTCACACGCACATTGATCATTTTGGGCATGGTGGCAGCAAAGGCAGGGGAGTTAGTGAAGTTTAGCTAGGACTGTCAGGCAGTGCTGAGCACGCAGTACACACGGCTCAGATTCAGGTGGCCAGGGACTCAGATTGGGTCCTCAGTAGCATCGGGGCAACTGTTCGGCTTCCTGCTAACAGGCCACGACTTCACAAACCCCACCCAGGAAAGACTGTTTTCCTAGTTTTGGTATCAGAGTGTGATATTGCTTCATAGACTGAATTACAAATTATTTCCCCTTTCTCAATCTTTTCTAATAGTTTTAGTAGAATTGATACCAATTCTTCTTTGAATGTATAGTGGAATTCAGCTGTGAATCTATCTGGTCCTGAAAATTTTTTTTGGCAATTTTTTTATTACTGATTTAATTGCACTGATTGTTATTGGTATATTCAAGGTTTCTATTTCTTCCTGATTTAATCTAAGTGGGCTGTATATTCCAAGGAATTTATTCATTTTCTCTACATTTTCTAGTTTGTATGCATAAAGTGCTCATAGAAGTCTCAAATGATCTTTCATATTCTGTGGTGTTTATCTTAATTTTCATTTCTAATTGAGTTTATTTGAATCTTCTCCCTTCTTGGTTAGTCTAGTTAATGGTTTACTAATTTTGTTTATCTTTTCAAAGAGGCAATTTTTTATTTCATAGATTTTTTTGTGTTTCTATTTCATTTAGTTGTACTCTGATCTTTGTTATTTCTTTTGTTCTGCTAGTTTTGTGGGTTTCTTTTTTCTACTTCCTTGAAGTGTGACATTAGGTTGTCAATTTGTGATTTTTCAGACTTTTTGATGTAGGCAGTTATTGCTATGAAATTTCCTCTTAACAGTGTTTTAGCTGTATCTCAGAAGTTTTGATAACTCGCATCACTATTATCATTCATTTTAAATAATTTTTAAATTTTTATCTTGATTTTATTGTTAAACCCAAAACTATTCAGGAGCAGGTTGTTTAATTTCCATATGTTTGTATAATTTTGAGTGTTCCTTTTAGAGTTTATTTCTAGTTTTATTCCACTGTGGTTTGAGAAGATACTTTACATAATTTTGATTTTTAAAATTTGTGGAGGCATGTTTTGTAGCCTACCGTATGGTCTATCTTGAAGAGTTTTCCATGTGCTGATGAGAAGAATGTATATTCTGCAGTTCATCAGTTGAATGTTCTGTAAATATCTGTGAGGACTATTTGTTCTACAGTGCTGCTTAAGTTCACTGTTTCCTTGCTGACACTCTTCCTTGATGATGTATCTAGTGCTGTCAGTTGTCTTAAAGTCCCCCGCTATTATTGTGTTGCTGACTATCTCATTTCTTAGATCTAGTGTTAATTGTTTTATGAATCTGGGATCTCCAAAATTAGATGTGTATATATTTAGATTGTAATATCTTCTTGTTTGATTGATCTTTTTATCCTTATTAAATGACCTTATTTGTCTTGTTTTATTGTTTTTGCTTTAAAGTCTGCTTTATCTCATATAAGAAACACTACTGCTGCTTGCTTTCTGTTTCCATTTGTGTGGAATATCTTTTTCCACTCCTTTATCTAACTCTAACCCTTTACCTTAATTTTGTATGAATCTTTAGATGTTAGGTGAGTCTTTCAAAGACAGTGGATACTTGGCTTATAATTTTTTTATCCATTCTGTCAACCTGCATCATTTAAGTGGAGCATTTAGGCCATTTACTTTCAACATTAATATTGAGATATGAGGTATTTTTCCAGTTGTTATATTGATTTTTACCTTCACATTTTTTTATTGTGCTATAGTTTTATAGACCCTAAGAGTTTTATGCTTTCAAGAGATTGTATTCTGGTGCATATTAACCTTTTGTTTCGAGATTTAGCACTCCTTTTAACATTTCTTGTGGGGCTGGTCTGGTAGTGACAAGTTGTCTCAGTATTTGTTTGTCTGAAAATGGCTTTATTTCTTCTTCATTTATAAAACTTAGTTTGCTGGATACAAAAATCCTGACTGACAGTTATTGTGTTTAAGGGGGCTAAAGATAGTAACCAAATCTCTTCTGACGTGTAACACTTCTACTGAGAAGCCTACTGTTAGTCTGATAGGATTTCCTTTATAGGTTACCTGATGTTTTTGTCTCACTGCTCTTAGAATACTTTTCTACACTTTGATTTAAATAGCCTGATGACTACATGACTTGGTGATATCCTTTTTGCAAGAAATCTCCCAGATTTTCTTTAAACTCCTTATATTTGGATAACTAAACCTCTAGAAAGGCAAGGGAAGTTTTCTTAAATTTTTCCATCAAATGAGTTTTCCAAATTTTTTGCATTCTCTTCTCCCTCAGGAACACCAATTATTCTTAGGTTTGGCCACTTTACATAACTCTATATTTCTAGGATACTTTGTTCATTTCTTTTGATTATTTTTTCTTTATTTGTGTCTGATTAAGGTAATTCAAAAGTTATCTTTGAGCTCTGAAATTCTTTCTTTTACTAGGTTTAGTCTAATGTTGAAACATTCCACCTCATTTTGTAATTCCCTAAATGTATTATTTTTATTTCCAGAAGTTCTGATTGGATTTTATTTAAAATATCTATTGTTTTAGAATATTTTTATTTATATTCTGAATTCTTAAAAAAGTATCTTTATGTTAGTTTTCACCTTTCTCTAGTATATTTTTGAATAGCTTAATAAGCAACATTTGGAATTCCTTATCTTGTATTTAAAAGTTTTTATTTTGGTTTGGATTCATTGATGGTGAGATAATGTGATCTTTTGCAAGTATTCTAAAACCCTATTTTGTCATATGGCCAGAATTATTTTTCTGCTTCTCATTTAGGTAGACTATTTCATCTCATTTCTCTTGAATTTATTTTTTATTTGACTGTGTGGCTTTTAAAATTTCTTTTTCCCCCTTGATGATGTGACTTTAATGTTTATAGTTTATTGCAGCCTTGTTTGGCTTTTTTTTGCTTTCAGGGGTGAAGGCTCTGCATGAGTTCCCTGGTTATAGAAAATCTTTGTATCATGGCTTTCTTATATCCTGGTTGTAGTAGCAATGTGTTCAGTGTGCAAGCAAATTCACTGTCTCCTATGAAGTTGAAATGGAAGAGGTCTTTTGAAGCTTATCTTGTTCCCTCAGAGTGTGCACTTTTTAAAAAATTTATTTTTTCACCAGTATTTTGTTTCCAGGTTGAATAGTTTAGGCTTCAGAGGAATGAGTGTGGTATTCCTAGGTAGAAACCAGTGGTGGCTAAAGCAGGTGGTTAAATGCAATACTGAATGGTGAGCAGAGGACCCAACCTGACAGGTGGCTGGGGGAACTCTCAGTTAATCACACTGAGGTCCTTCATAGGGAAGGGAGGGAGCCCCCTCAGCTCTCCTAACAGGCCAGCAGGAAAAGAGTCTGCCTCCCAGTTATACTCCTGTCACAGAGTTCCATCTATTCAGGTCAGACAGGTACCTCTTTTCATGGGCAAGAATGCTGATGTTCAATGTAAAGATGGACTGTGGCTCTACTCCTAGTGCACGTGTGAACATGGAGGCACATTCTTCCTTTGGGGATTTTGTCACCCTGAAGTGTTCCAGAAAGGCCACCTACAGGTTCACCCATGCTGAGCTCCCATGGAAGAGGTCCCAGCTATGTCTGCATTGGTGGGCAAGTGGGAAAGAAAGTCCTCTTCTCCAGTATCCTTCACAAGCACCAGAGCTGTCAGACTGTTGAGGTAGAGACACATAACTTTTCACACTGAGGCCAGCACTGCACCTGTACCTCTGCTGAAAGAGACTTCCCACATGCAGAAAGTCCCAGCTTTGACAGAGGTGGCTGGGGGAGCTCTCAGTGAAACACACTGAAGTCTTATCAGGGTGAAAGGAGGGAACTACCTCAACTCCTCTGCTAAGCCAGCAGGAAATTGGTCCACCTCCTAGTCACACTCTTGAACCAGTGTCCAGGTTATTCAAATCAGACAGGAACCTCTTTTCATCTGCGATAAGGCTGATACTTCAAATAGAGAGGTATTGTGACTACTTTTTATGCAAGCCCAAACCTGAAAAGTACTCTGTCTGTGGGAATACAGTCACTCGGAAGTGCTTCAGAAAGGCTGTCTGTAGGTGTACCCATGCTGAGCTTGCATAGGAGAAGCCCCAGCTGTGCCTGCAGTAGTGGACAAAGGGAAACAAATGTTTTCTTCTCCAAAAACCTTCATGAGCACCATGGTTGCCTGAATGCTGGGGTAGAGGTACAACTTTCCTTACTGAGCCCAGCACTGCACCTGTAATTCTGCAGAAAGAAACTTCCCACAAGCAGAAAGTTATGGAACTCAAGGTCTGCTATCTAAATTCTTTTGTCTTACAGGTATGGTGCACTCTCCCTTCCCCTAGGAGTAGAAGTCCCTGAAAGCCAGACTACTGTAAATGCCGCCACTCTCCTGGGTCTAGCTGCCCAGTGGAGCTGCCACACTCCAGGCTGGTGTTGTAGAATGTTGGCAAGGGATTCAGTGATGTGACCTTTTTTCAAGTCTCTCAGCAGCAGGTATGAGCACCAGCTCTGATGGGTGTAGCAGGGGGATTGATGTGAAATTAGTTGATTATACATAACCTTAGCATATAGGCTTTATCAAATGCTGGTTGTAGTAGTAATAAACTGGTCATGTGGACATAACTCCTGATTAGTCATGATGCTGCAGACAGTGGTAATAGCTGAGGCTATGCTATGAGGTTTCCTCCTTCCTGGGTGCTGTGTTATTCTACCTGGAGATGCCGTAATAGACTGTGGCAGTTGGCCCCCAGCCAGGAGGTGGCACCTGCTACCAGTGGGATTTGTGGTTGTCTTATGTTACCCAGGGGAGGTTCTCTGGCGTATCAGGCAATGCGTGTGGCCACAGAGCTCCCAAAAGTTTCTGTCCTTTGTGTTAAACTACCAGGTCAGATAGAGAAGCAAAGCCAAGTCAAAGCTGGGTCAGACAAATGTGTACTCTGGCTCTCCACATGTAGGGCAAGCAGTGGCAGTGGCCCCAGTGAGTATTGGTTGACAATTCCCTGGAAGTTTGGGTAATGTTCCAGAAAGTAGTAAAATGGTCTTTGTTGCACAGAAGAGTTCACACATAGGGTGATGAGTAGCAGGTGGCAGTAAGCCCCAC